TCAGGGGTTCTGTATACAGATGTGCTGATAAGGATGTGCCAACAAGAGAAGCAAGCAGAGTGAGCAGATGAATAGTCTACTGCTGATCCTTTACTGTCAATTCACAGACTGGGGGCAGGGGATGACCCAGCTGTACAGCCTAACTCCAGCAGAAAAATATCAGGTCACCAAGATAAGAATACAAAATGCAGAACTTCTGTTTAAATGACGGTATTTTTGTTATCCTCTTCCCCCACTCTTTAGCAGTCATGTCTTTTATAATGTGAAAATGTGTTCTCATCGAAAATATCTTCTGTGCTGTGCTCATGGATGTCTCATTTATTTTAGAAGAGTTTTATTGCTCCAGGGATACAAAAAAACACTTAGCTTTAGCTAATTGGCAGAAAGCAGTACCTAACATCTGTATGCTTGCACTTCCTTATCGGCCTTAGAATATGTTATGACCAGAAATAAGGGAATTATGTCATACTGAACTTCCCTAAACTGCTCCATTACTAAAAACAGAAATGATACAGCAATATCCTTTGTGAACAGTTATTATTAGCTGTATATGCCCAGTACCAGGCTACTAAACTGACCGCAACAAAATAAATAAATAAATATATGTATATAATTACAACAATAAATTGAATAGATTTAACATGGGTAAATTAACACGTTACATGCCTTCCTTGCAACTAACAGAACAACCAATATGCCATCCATGATCTGGCTGCTTTGTTAGCTGTGTGTGCCCTGCCCACTACATCTACAAGTAGGCCTCGTTCAGACAGGCAAGAAGGCTCCACCACCACGCTGAAAAATGATCTGTGGTGGAGCACTTTTCAGAGGGAGGTAGAGAAGCACCTGCCCTGTGTTCAGGAGGCAATATTGCCAGCTCCAGAACATTGTTTTTTTTCCATCCATTAAAAATGTACTATTGCAATACCGTGCCACAAGCACATGCCCACAGGGTTGCAGCATCCATGCAATGCATAGATAAAATAGACTTTATTAAAGGCAACTGTGCCATCGATAGTATTAGTGCAAGCATGTATTAAATATAAATGAATACAGTATATATTACAGTCCATGTGATATGTGCAATTCATGTACAGTGGCTTAAAGTCTTACATAAACAAAAAAAGGAAAGATTTAGTATAGGCGCTGTGCAAATGTAGTAATCCGTGGCAAAAAAAAAAATCATATTTCAGTATGTTTTAGGGAACCTTGTTTAATGCGTGGACATGCACTGTGGTAGTTGCATGGTTGCACGTGCCCAGCCATTTTTTATGGATCCTCAATGTACATCCATGCACCAAAAACAAACCCTGCACCTGGCTCTTTTTTTTCAGAGCACTGCAACGAAGTGCAGCACATATGTATGTGTTCTAGTGCATCGAGGGCCATAGGTGTTGTTTGGTGTGTGAATATGCATTGGGTTCCATTAAAAACCCATATGCCTAGGTATAAACGGCACCTCGGTGATCTGACTAGTGAAAGCTGATCAATTACTTTGGAGTATGGCATTTTTTAGATAAATTTGTATTAGCTGTCCAAAAACCAAGAATGTGTGATATCGACCATAGTATCATATAGGCATTACTTTACACTTCTCTATTCTAGCTCTGAAATTGTGGCTCCTCAATCGTGGTGGGGCTTAGAAAAACGATGACAGTTTGTCTAAATATAGGTGTGATTGTGGCTCAGGATGAGGTTGAATATTGTCATGATTTCAGCTGTCTAACATTCAGGCACAAATTTAGTTTTGTCTCTACTTCATTTAAGGATTCTGTGGAAGGGTATATGCAATTCCTACTGGATTTTCCCTGCTAAATAATGAAACTGGATCTACAACAAAGCAACAAGCCTGTGCAACATTTCTGTTCAATCCAGGTGACATCCGAAAATGGAGCCCTCTGTATCATCAATCCTCTATTTCTGCATGAACACGGAGACACGTGGCTCACACATAATTCACAAAGTCAAGTAAAAGAGAAAAGAAAGAGTGTACCATGGAGGCCTGAACAAGAGCATGAAGAAATCAGACTTGGACCTGCACTGGAAGGTGAGAGAAACCCATGTGAGAAACATATATTGTAATTAGCATTGAAGGGAATCTAAATTCAAATAGTTTTTTAATTTATGATGTAGTACAGAAGGGTTGGAACCCCTGTCCAGGTGTTATTGCCGTATGCATCCCCGCTGCGTGGATTCACCCCCTCTGTGTGTCCTGGCATCCATAATTTTGATTTCTCACTTCAACAGAAATAGAGGGAAAATCATTGGAGTCACTGGTTCTGGTGACAACTGTCTAAAGGGGGATTTGCCTTATTTTGGAGATAGCTCCTCTTACATTCTGTTCTGTCTATAGGACAGGAAGTGAAGAAAATTCCCAATGGAATGCAGATATATAAATTAAATGCCTGACAGGGTTCTAACTACTCCTTAGTTTTGGATTTTAGATATACTCTAGTGTAATGTATAAAGCAGAAGGTTTAATGCGTTACATAATAATATTACCAATTCTAATTATTTTCTAAGATAATTTAAAAATATTTTACATATGGTTTAAAGCTAAACCCTGGGATAAACAAATATTGTCTAAATACAACTGTAATGTGTATTCTCACTTGAATCTTGGTGTCCTTTGTGTATTTCTCCCTGATCTGTGCAGTAATTCAGTGTGAAACTTTGCCTCTGTGCAGGAACTTCCTGTAATAAAGACCAGTCATTGCTGCTCCCTCTCCCTGTACCTGGTGACTAGTCTTGTCTCCGCCCCTCCTGTAGTTTTCTGCAGTGAGCCTTTAGTGTGTGGAGCTCCTATTTTGCAAGGAATATCTGGATTTTCAAAGGCATTTGCTGCATATAAAGTTTATTTTTTATATTTTGTTGCTATTGAGGCATATATATTTTAAGATGTTTTTTGCCTGGAGTTCAGCTTTGAAAACATAGCTGCTTAAACCTCTAAAAAAAGTACATGAATAATTTTCTCTCCATTTCCAAAGATGGTGTAACTGCTAATATCTAAATGCATACCTGCACTACCTATTGGGAAACCCAGCACACTGCAATATAATGTATATACATACATACATTGTGATGTGCTGAAGTGCAAGTGTGTTGGTTGATACTGTCTATGTGTGTTCAATGTGAAGAGAATTAATGGTAATGCAGCACAAAGCAAATATACATTGCAGTAATGCATGTTTTACTTTAAATTTGTGTTGCCCCGACCACATAGGTGGGAATCCAGCTTAACTCTGTATATAAAGCATGTGTGTTATCTCCAACATTTCAAACTGGTTTTAATATTTGCAGCAACGATAATAACGAAACAGCATCATTAACATACACTATGGGCATAGATGAGGTGGTGTGTACGTGGATAGAGAACTGGCTACGGGAAACCAGGTACTCGTAAAATGAGATCCTAATAGGTTGGACTTGATGGACTAATGTCTTTATTCAACCTCAAATACTATGTATATTGCCAAATGTATTTGGATGCCTGACTTTACACGCACATGAACTTTAATGGCATCTCAGTCTCAGTCCGTAGGGTTCAATATTGAGTTGGCCCAACCTTTGCAGCTATAACAGCTTCAACTCTTCTGGGAAAGCGTCCACAAGGTTTAGGAGTGACACACTCCTAAACACTATGGGAATGTTTGACCATTCTTCCAGAAGCTCATTTGTCAGGTCAGGTAATGATGTTGGACGAGAAGGCCGGGCTCGCAGTCTCCGCTCTAATTCATCCCATAGGTGTTCTATCGGGTTGAGGTCAGGACTCTGTGCAGTTAAGTCAAGTTCCTCCACCCCAAACTCGCTCATCCATGTCTTTATGGACCTTGCTTTGTGCACTGGTGTGCAGTCATGTTGTAACAGGAAGGGCCATCCCCAAACTGTTCCCACAAAGTTGGGAGCATGAAATTGTCCAAAATGTCTTGGTATGCTGATGCCTTCACTGGAACTAAGGGGCCAAGCCCAACCCCTGAATAACAACCCCACACCATAATCCTCCCTCCACCAAACTTTACACTTGGCACAATGCAGTCAGGCAAGTACCGTTCTTCTGGCAACCGCCAAACCCAGACACGTCCATCAGATTGCCAGACAGAGAAGTCACTCCAGAGAACACGTCTCCACTTTTTCCACTAGATTTCAGTGGCGGCGTGCTTTACACCACTGCATTTGACGCTTTGCATTGCACTTGGTGATGCAAGGCTTGGATGCAGGTGCTCGAACATGGAAACCCATTCCATGAAGCTCTATACACTCTGTTGTTGTGCCAATCTGAAGGCCACACAAAGTTTGGAGGTCTATAGCTATTGACTCTGCAGACAGTTGGTGACTTCCGCGCACTGTACACTTCAGCATGCGTTGACTCCGCTCTGTCATTTTACGTGGCCTACCACTTCGTGACTGAGTTGCTGCTGTTCCCAGTTGCTTCAACAGTTGACCGTGGAATATTTAGTAGCAAGAAAATTTCACGAAACACCTGAATCCAATGATTTGGAGGGGTGTCCTGATACTTTTGGCAATATAGTGTATGTTATGGTCATTATGAGGGTTCCCTTAGCCAGTAGTATAAGTACCATGAGTGCCAGGGGGTGGACACTACAAGGCCCAGGCAGCCACTCAGCTATACAAACTAAATTTCTGTGATAGATTTTTATTACAATCATCATCATAGAAATAATATGATACAACATTATAAAAATGATTGTGCTATTCAGTCATGATCAATAAATAACTCTCTTCTTATACAGCACATTGCAAGAAACATTGTGATAAAGGCCTAAAGTTAAGTGAGATATTAGCACAATCAGAACTTGACGTAGCCTTGTTGTTACTTCTCCTGTGATGTGGTAATGAGTGTTAATTCTTCCTGTTTCATTATGCCTGCAGATATACATGCTGATAATCTCAGCAGTACAGACAAACCCCCAGATATTTGTGAAGAACTATGTATGGCGGATCCTAAAGTTTTAATTAATCAAGATCAAAACTTAAATGATTGCTGCGGAAAGGCCCAAGAAACTTCAGATTCAAATCCCAGTACTCCAAAGCTGCTTAGGAAATCTGTAATATGTGTACATACTGTAAGTGAGCCAAAAAGAGAAAGCATGGTGGAATTAAATGAAACACAAACTTTGGATAATAGTTTCAGTGACAACAATAAAACACTAAGGTTGTCGCAGGAAAAGAAATGTGCTTCGCGTCAACACAGGGTGTCCTGGATTCAAGAGGAACATGTAAACGCTACTTTGAAGAAAGCTAATTCGGACACTTCTCTAAGTTCCTCTGACAGTTTCCTCCTCCCTCCGCTTCCAGAGTTGGATTCTGTATCCATTAGTAGTGTTGAGGAAGATGGAGAACGTAGCTCCCTGAGGCCAAAGAGACACCATTCACATGGACTTGGAGATATAGTCAGACATAGTCTACTAGCGGTTAGCACAGCACTAACTGGGCTGGTTTCTCCAGAGAAACACCTGGTAAATAGAATCCAACAACTGGCAGAAGACCCTTCATCTTACCTGGGTGGAACTGTTCAAACATTCATTATCCAACTACAAAAACGATCTGTTGTATATCTTTCTTCTACAGAGATGCTACAGGGTATACGTCAACTGCTTACTAACTTGAGGAACCATCTGCTGGATAGCAATGAGACTTTGGAAATTCTGGATCGTCAAGAAATTGAGGAAATCAAAATTGGTATGAAATACACTGTTCTCTAGTGTGCTTTAAAATTTATGAAATTAATTACTGACAACTCATATAGTGAGACAGCATAGGAAAAATAAAATAGAACACAACTAGCTACACTTTATACAATCCTGAAATTGTACCATGATTTATTACCTAATTGAGTCCCATGTTATTACAAGTGGACCCTTGTGCTGTATACAATATATATCCAACATTTAGGGCCTCATTATGGAGTCAGATAATCATTTGCGTAATTGCGTTTTTCTGGATATGGATAAGTCTGGATATGAATTGGAGTATGTGTACAGGATGTGTGCATAGAACAGTAGGGTTTATTGGAAGACCATGCATGTTTACACGTTCTGACAGGCAGTGAGTGTATGTAATTTCTGGATGATATCATCAACTGGTTCCCAGGACATTTCATACATTAAGCTGGAAAAAATAGAAACAGATGTACCAGTTACATTACTAAGAAACATAGAGGAAATATAAAGGAAGTAAATACTGTATGTAATTGCATGGCTATTTCGTAACATAACAGTGGTTGGGTATTACATTTTGCTGTATTAGTTCCAGGTGTCATTACTATAGTGTTTTAAAAGAGATTATTTTATAAAGAGCCAAAGATTCACCAGGCATTGGGAGACATATCATTAATCTGGAAAACTTAAATAAAGCACATACATCATCAAATTTGCTGATGAGTGCACCTATTCCAAAAAAGACTCATCAAATTTTGGATTTCCTTGTTTAATGTTCAAGCGATCCTGGCCTACACTACTGCGTGCTTAATGTTACAAAAGTGCTGAAGGGTAAGCATCACCCTGGTTGTACATAGGACCTCCACTTATGCCAGAACAGATAGTAAGATCCACTGTTCTCTGTGCTAACTCACCTCTGTTAGGAAACTGTCAAATGACAGAAAAGTAATCACAGTTGTATAACAATGGATAAAGCTTAATGCTAGGAGCAGACAGGGCCTGATCTTATTGGGGAGAAGCTGGGATGTAGGAACTTCAACACTTCTGTTACCTTAGACACTCTTTTGGATATCACAGGTTCACTTTAAGTGCTGGTTTTAATACCGTAGGGTTTTCCCTTAAAGCAGAAAATGTTACATTTGTTTTTCTAAAATTCAACACCCCAAAGATTTCTTATGGAGCCTGCAATGATCTTTTTCCTTGCTTCACAGTCAACACACAAATGTGCCACTTGTTGGCTGAGTATTCACCAAAGATTTGTCCGATTCTTTGGTTTGTATTTGGTATTTTCCCGCAACTTTTTTTTACCTACCATCTTTATAAACACAACAAATGTTGCCGCAAACAAACAGAAGAAAAGCTGTCCGCACACCAGATTCCACTGGAATAGTTTATTGAAGCTTGTACCACATCACTGGTGTCCCACCCAAGGTCCGCCCCGTCTGATCCGTTTCACCCAATCACAGGCTTAGTCGTAGAGATGAGAGTGGACCAGTTTAGACTGTGCTTTATATCATCAAGTTCCTCTGCGTATCATTACATGGTAATACAAAAAAGTGGACCAGCCTTAAATCTCACCAAGAAACATAGCATACATTATACATAGCATAGTATAGCATAGCATATATTATACATAGCATACAATATCATACAATGTCCTGCAAAAAATACCATTGCTGAATTTGCAGGACATTGTATGATATGTATATTATAAGCTAGCTATATTTCTTGTATGCTGTTTCTTGGTGAGATATAAGGCTGGTCCCCTTTAATTGTGTTACCATGTACAGACATGCACATGAATTTGATGGCATAAAGCACACGCTACCCTGGTCCACCCTCATCTCTATAAATATGCCCGTGGTTTGGGTGAAAAGCATCAGTGGCCGGACCTTGGACAGGACACCAGTGATATGGTACAAACTTCAATTAACTATCCCAGTGGAATCTGGTGTGTGGCCAGCTTTTCTTCTATTTGTATGAGCATATTGGAGCAAGGACGAGGCAAGCACCTGCCTCATACCTTTCCTGAGCCATGGAGGAGCAGTACTTTTTTTTGTGTTCTCCTTAAGTGCTGCCGCAGATCCAAGCTAGTAAAGTATTTGGATTGACCCAGAAAATAAACAGTATTTTATACAGAAATATACACTAAACCACAGATATATATCTTTTTTCCAAAAAGGCATAGAAAGTACTAGTTAATTGGGGAGGGGCATCCACCATCAGTCTTAAAATTTTGGACATTTATACAAGAGGTGACAGTTTTAAATTTAAATATCTTTTCATAGAATGTGTATACAATTCCTGCATGTTCTGGTTACTTTTATCAATACTTTGGTGTAAGATGAGGAGACTATTCTCAGAAAAAGAATGCCTCTGTGGTTTTACATTGCAGGCTGAGACTTCCGTTCACACTATAGTTCTTGCTTCAATATGTATACTGTGGTTGCACATCAATGTAAAAGAAGAGATATGTCACCACTATACCTAGGAAATTAAATACCTGCCCCAGCCTCTGTATAATACACATATAACTATTCTAAAGCCAGAATTTCCTATACTCATTATGAGAATGAAAAAAGATTTTCTTTTATATCAGGAAACTCCTTACACAAGCGTAGAATACAGCTAACACTTTTATATACAAACACACACAAAATTGGACAAGTTTAATTGGACAAATGGTTTTGTAGGTCATTGATGGGAACAAATGTGGCCCTTAACTATAATGTTATTGTGAAAAGAGGATTACTGGGGTTAGGTATTGAGCTAAGGTCTGACTTTGACCTACTACATTAAAAGTATCACACAGAGGTTCAGAAGACCTCAGGAGACTTGTTGAAGTTAGCAGAACAGGAGGGGGTTACCAAGGGATGTCTAAAAATGTAGACCTACGTTAGTCTACACGCAGTTTACAAATGGAAGAAATCATTACTCCCTCACTCTGAGAAAGATTAGCATGTACACTCCTGAGACAAATAACATGAGACAAATAACAATAGGGTGATAATAATGAGACTCAGAAAGCCTGGAGATACAGCCAAATGGCGGGCCTTTCTGAGTGCTGAAGCATGACTGCCCCTTTCCGTCCTTTGCAGCTTCCTATTGAACAGCCTCAAGCTTCATACAACAAGTCTCATGTCCATAACACAAAGGGGAGGTATTCTGTAGCTCAGCATGGAAGGACTGGGCAGGGCTGATAACAGTGCTTGAGATTCCAGGGCAGCAAAGGCAGAATTGTCAGTTTAAACAGGAAGTTAGGGGCTTACTGTATTTTTGACAGAATCATCAGATATTTGCATGCAGTGTTGGCGAGGCTTTAGGAGAGATTGGTGAGGCTTTAGGAGAGATACGTGCAGTGTTGGTGAGGCTTTAGGAGAGATACGTGCAGTGTTGGTGAGGCTTTAGGAGAGATACGTGCAGTGTTGGTGAGGCTTTAGGAGAGATACGTGCAGTGTTGGGGAGGCTTTAGGAAAGATAATGTAAGTGCAGTGTTGGTGAGGCTTTAGGAGAGATATGTGCAGTGGTGGTGAGGCTTTAGGAGAGATACCTGCAGTGTTGGTGAGGCTTTAGAAATGATGCGTGCAGTATTGGTGAGCAGTGGCGGACTTAATAACCAAAGGGCCCTGGTGCAAGATTTTATCTTGGGCCCCCCTCCCAAGACAGGGGTGGGGGGGCGGGCGGGAGCGGATCAAAATAGATTATAATAGGGAACATTACAGTGTAATATTCCCCATTATAATCCACTTGTCTGATAACATCAAATAGCATTTCACAACTATTATACTCTAGCCCCCCCCCCAACCCCACGCTCGGACTTACCCAGACAGAGGACCGCATGCCAGGAAGTTTCGATTTGAGCACTGCAGGGGGCGGGGCTTGTGACACACACACGCCTCCTGTGACTCACCTCCCCTCCCGCTGCTTGTTACTATGGACGCGGCCGGGAGGGGAGTCACAGGACCCGCCCCCTCACTGACATGCCCGTCGGCAGTGCGGGGCCCCGGTGTTCGAACACCGGGACCGTGCACTGCCAAAAAAAAACGGATCGGACCCCACTGAGGCTGTGGGGGAGCCCAGGACTGGACCCCACTGGGCCCCCCCACAGCCACAGGCCCCGGTGCCCGGCACCGGCGGTAGTTCCGCCACTGTTGGTGAGGCTTTAGGAGAGATACGTGCAGTGTTGGTGAGGCTATAGGAGAGATACGTGCAGTGTTGGTGAGGCTTTAGGAGAGATATCTGCAGTGTTGGTGAGGCTTTAGGAGTGATGTGTGCAGTATTGGTGAGGCTTTAGGAGAGATATGAGCAGTGTTGGTGAGGCTTTAGGAGAGATACGTGCAGTGTTGGTGAGGCTTTAGGAGAGATACGTGCAGTGTTCGTGAGGCTTTAGGAGAGATACGTGCAGTGTTGGTGAGGCTTTAATAGAGATTCGTCCAGTGTTGGTGAGGCTTTAGGAGAGATACGTGCAGTGTTGGTGAGGCTTTAGGCGAGATACCTGCAGTGTTGGTGAGGCTTTAGGAGTGATGCATGCAGTATTGGTGAGGCTTTAGGAGAGATACGTGCAGTGTTGGTGAGGCTTTAGGAGAGATACGTGCAGTGTTGGTGAGGCTTTAGGAGAGATACGTGCAGTGTTGGTGAGGCTTTAGGAGAGATACGTGCAGTGTTGGTGAGGCTTTAGGAGTGATGCGTGCAGTATTAGTGAGGCTTTAGGAGAGATATGAGCAGGGTTGGTGAGGCTTTAGGAGAGATACGTGCAGTGTTGGTGAGGCTTTAGGAAAGATACTGTACGTGCAGTGTTGGTGAGGCTTTTGGAGAGATATGAGCAGTGTTGGTGAGGCTTTAGGAGAGATACGTGCAGTGTTGGTGAGGCTTTAGGAGAGATACGTGCAGTGTTGAGGAGGCTTTAGGAAAGATACCTGCAGTGTTGGTGAAGCTTTAGGAGTGATGCGTGCAGTATTGGTGAGGCTTTAGGAGTGATGCGTGCATGTTGGTGAGGCTTTAGGAGAGGTATGAGCAGTGTTGGTGAGGCTTTAGGAGAGATTCGTGCAGTGTTGGTGAGGCTTTAGGAGAGATATTTGCAGTGTTGGTGAGGTTTTAGGAGTAATACGTGCAATGTTGATGAGGCTTTAGGAGTAATACGTGCAATGTTGATGAGGCTTTAGGAGAGATTCCTGCAGTGTTGGGGAGGCTTTAGGAGAAATTCGTGCAGCGTTGGTTAAGCTTTAGGAGAGATTCGTGCAATGTTGGTAAAGCTTTAGGAGTTATACGTGCAGTATTGGTGAAGCTTTAGGAGTAATACGTGCAGCGTTGGTGAGGCTTTAGAAGTAATACGTGCAGTGTTGGTGAGGTTTTAGGAGTGATACGTGCAGTGTTGATGAGGCTTTAGGAGAGATTCGTGCAGTGTTGGTGAGGCTTTAGGAGTGATACGAGCAGTATTGGTGAGGTTTTAGGAGTGATACATGCAGTGTTGATGAGGCTTCGGGAGAGATTCGTGCAGTGTTGGTGAGGCTTTAAGAGAGATAAGTCCAGTGTTCGTGAGGCTTTAGGAGAGATTCGTGCAGTGTTGGTGAGGCTTTAAGAGAGATACGTGCAGTGTTGGTGAGGCTTTTAAGGTGCCCATACACCTTAACATCGCAAGACTTTTGTCTTGCGATGGTCGTAAGCTTATTAAAAGCTCGTACGATCTGCCCATCTTGGACAGGCAGATCGTACTTGCGATCATCGAAAGCCTTCTGATGACCGCACTGATGGGCGGGCTTCCGATCACTGCAAACGGGCAGTGTGCGTGTGCGCACACCGGCCCATTTGGCAGCTGTTGAACAAGCAGGCCACTAACCACTAGGTTTTAAAGCCTGCTTGTTCGACGGAAGACGTGCGACCGTACAGTAGAAACGGTCGCACGCCTTCCATACACTGTACGATTATCGTACGATCGTGGGATGGTGTATGGGCACCTTAAGAGAGATAAGTGCAGTGCTGATGAGGCTTTAAGAGAGATTCGTGCAGTGTTGGTAAGGCTTTAAGAGAGATGTGAGAACCTCTGCTTAACATCATTCTAATGCTGAAATATTGTTTATTTTGTAGAATGAAATGCATATACTTCTTACTGAAAGGTCACTTTACAAATATGTATGATTTTTAAAAGATTAAAGCAGAACTGCCAAAAATAACAAGATAAAAATGAATTGCATTTTTAAAGATAAAATCAGCTTGTGCTGCAATGTTCACCATCAATCCAGAGAATTTTCCTGCAGTACTTTTTGCCACTAGAGGTCCACAGTCTGATGGCCAGCATCATTCAACAGATTTTGTCTAAACCCAGGTTGTCCCGGACATGCCCCAGCCTGTGACTGGACAATGAAAGCAGAAGCAGCACAGTGATGAGCTCATTTCTCTGTCACTCTGCTTTATCTTCTTACCAGTATGCTTCTTGTCATCACATAACTGATTGGCTCCTTCTAATTCTTCTTCCTTCCCTCTCTGAACTCTGCTGTACAGGGATTTCAGGAGGCTGATACCAGGTCAGATGTAGGTTCTTACATTTAAAAATTGCATTTAAAAATGCAATTTTTAATGTATTGTATTAATGTTTACAGAACTGCAATAATTTGTGTATTTTATATCTGCCTAAAGTTCAGCTTTAACAAAACTGAGGTTAGATATATAAATATATCTATTACTTTAAGCAGCGTGGTAATAGCTTCTTATTTACTTTCTATTCAGCCTCTATCATCGAATCATCTCTGTACAAGTGTGTGCTGAAACCCTTGCAAAGTACAATTTACTCTCAACTACTGGAGATGCACAACAGAGATGGCTCTATGGAGAAGTTGCTCGATAACCAGCAGAAGATGAAGAAATGGAGCCTGGATGAGCAGCAGCCACGAGCAGGAATTCCTGGGCTTGCCACCATGGAGAAGATTAAGCAGAAACTGGCACTCATGCACAAATCCTATTCCCCAGAAAAGAAAATACGCCACTTGCTGAAAATCTGCAAACATATTTATGAGTCAATGGAAGCATGCAGTGGGAAGAAAGGTAAGGTAGATGATATATGTTTTTATATTGCTCCAAATACTGTTATAAACTTATGTGAAGCCGAAGTTGGCTTTGGTCATTATATGGCAGTGGGGCATATTGTGAGTTCACAATCTCAAACACATACTATTTGTTGAACGGATAGTTGCTTAGATTAACCAAGTAATGACTGAGCTATGAGTGCATTATCTAGATTACCTTTTCACCAGATAAATCCAGTACCACTGGTCAGTTCTCCACTGGCTGGTTGCATGCAGAAGTTTGGAGATACCCTTAGACATAACAATCTTTTTCTAGTCCATCTAAAATTGGCCAGATCAGGTGATACACCTGTAATGTCTATAGGCACCTTCATTGTATGCAAAATAGTGAGGGGATCCATAATCTAGGAGAATCCCAGTGTAGAACCTCTATTTTGTATAAAAAGAGTAAGGTTTGTGAGGTTTCAAATGAAGTGACTGCTACTGTGGCGGCTGCCTTTGTAAAGGAAGGAAGCTGCTTGGAAGACCGTGAATATATTAAGAAATTTACATCCTTCATTTGGCCATTAGCACTGGACCCCTCAAGGAAGAGCTGATACATTTTTTTTTTGCTGGCCAGGTTGATTTTACTTCCACCATCTTACATACTAGAAAAGATAACTTTAGTACAACTTACATCAATTTAGCTGGCTACAGTATTGTTAACCGTCTTTAATTTATTTCTACCAGAAGCCTTTGGTGCAGATGACTTCTTACCTGTTCTGATCAATGTTCTGCTTGGATGTGACCTCACTGCTGTTCAGTTAGATGTGGAGTATATGATGGAACTTGTGGATCCTTTCCAGCTTCAAGGAGAAGGTGAGATTACATTTCATTGCATTTGATCGTCAAGAGACACTGAAAGCCTGTAGTTACTTTAAACAGGGCAACTGATGCCCTAAGAACAGCCCAACATTTTGCCCCCTTCATCTCCCGGCCAGAATTCGAAGATAGACAAGCCCCATATGCCTGTAAAGCCTGTGAAGGTTCATGGCCAAGAAAGAGGATGTGAATAAACAACAGAGGCCGTGGCAGATCGATCTACACATCTGTAGGGGAGCAGTGTAGGCGGTCAGATAGCTCAGGGCAAAAGGAATAAGTGCACTATGTAGCTAAAGTGCACTTATCCTTTAAGGGCATGATAGCTAGGGGAGAAACTCTGTAGTGCACCCTTCCCTTGGTGCCCTATGAACTATGTTTATTTTGCTTAATGAATCATCTAGTGTAGACTAAGGTGGCTTGTGCCTATTGAGCTTGTTATATCTTTTGGCACTCCATACTAATTCTCATATTTCATTTACAGGTGGCTATTATCTGACTACTTTGTTTGGAGCTTTGTATCACATAAGCACCTTCAACACTGTATCAAGACAGCTCAGTGTGGAGGCCCAGAATTCTATCCGCCAGTGGCAACGCAGACGGACTGTTTACCACAAACAATCTTTTCAAAAACACAGTCAAGTGAATAAGACAATGTCAGAAAAATATGCATCTCTGCTGGCCTCAGATGGAAAATAGCCAAGAATTAGCTTGTACACTACCCAATGGCAAACAAAAATAATAATCCTATTATTGTGAGGACAGGTTCCCTTTAAAATGACTGCTTGTATATTTAGGAGGATAACTATAAACAGCTTAAGGGCTGCATAGGCAAGCAGACAGCAAGGGCAGTGTCACTTTCATTTCTTGATCACTAAAATAATCGCTCAAGTGGATCTTTATAACTGATATTGTTTTTTTCCCTTACACAAGACTTTAAAATGTCCTCGGTATTTGTTTATAAGTTTGGGAAAAGGATGCCAATAGTTGCGTGGTAATAGGTATAATTTTCATAAGTGCAGCCCAGATTATAAGGCTTCCTGGTTAAAGAAAGCAGTAGAAATTTTCCAGTGATGTAGTAGCTGCAGAATATTCGTTGGCTGGTTGGCCATCAGAGTCCTAAAGGCTGACGACATTGAAGAATAACTGGTATTAACCCTTGCAGTGGGGCTACCCTGCACTGCAAGGGAAAGTGCTCATTTTTGTCTAGGTGCTAAAAAAAAAAGTTATACTCAGCAGCCGACTCCCTGCTTATGTGATCACTGAAGCGTGTCCCTTCCTCTACTGCACAAAGAGACTGCTCCTCGGCATCCTCACATCTATACACAGTCTATGCACATTGTATAGCATGTGACGACACCAATATCCTTAGACAAACGAGCACTTAACAACGAGCAACTACCACTGCACTGCAAGGGTTATTCAAACTTTTCTTGGAGTTCTTCTTTAAATAACTTCATATTATTTTCATCCTAAAGCTGCTGTGTTCTAGGTGGGTTTCACCATATTGTGCAAGTATGCACAGCATAATTGCATGTTATGGTACACTTATCTTACACTCTCGCCCACTTTGTCCTCCGCCACCACCGCCATCTCCTCTGCCGCCACTTCTGGGTTTCCAGGCATCCTTATCGACCACTGGGTGGCCACTGATGATGTGACTTCCCCCCAAGTGCACTGCACAGTGCACACGCTGTTCATTGTACATAGAAAATTAAAAAAATAGCTGGGGAAGAGAGGAAGAAGGTTTTTTCTTAGCAGAAGAGACTTTGCATGTCTCTTCTGCCCAAAATCCCTACCTCAGTGTGATTTTTAAAATTCATTTTCACTTTACTTCCACTTTAACAAGCTGTAAAATAGCTAGCAGTTTTTGTTTTCTGAGTCCCTCGAGTAATTTGATTACCTGTTGATCCTGCCAGTAGATCTGCCATTTTTCACTTCCTGTAACAGGGTGACAATGCTTTTATTCTACCGTGTAATTTCTCACTGCAGTGCTGTTACCCCATAGACAAGGTAGTCTCAAATGGGTATGTCTTTTAAATACATGTTAAGTAAGAGACAAACAAATTAAAACTTGGCTCCAAGGCAAGGGGAAAGTGCAAAGAGACATTTCTGGGTCATGGTTCCCTAATGTTGTAAGAGGTTGGAGATTTTGTCCACATACAACTGTCATCACTCTGGGCTTACATTGTATTTTATACCCATAAGGTGTTATATTTTGTATATAAATCCAATTGATAATGCCGATAATGTCGATGTCATATAATTATTTTAATCTTTTATTTTTTATTCATTTTAATATTGTTTTTATATATCAGTATGTGTTTGGATCAGCTGTAAAATAAGGACTGTACATAAAAAATAAAATGACTTAACAGTGTTTCATGTAAGATTGTGTACTTCTTTAACAGGACATGTCTTCAACATGTTTATCTGCATCAATTAGGGTCACAATCAAAAAGTTATAACAATTATATCAATCCATTGTAAAATAAATAATCAAACAGAAAGATTTCAAGGACTTACAGGGTTATTCACAAAAGGGTGAAGAGTTTGGAGAAGGCAGGAGAAGTGAACAATCTAGGTCAACATAGCTGATTAGGAAAAATTATCCTATTCAGCTCACTTTCCAGGTCAGCTATGTTGTCCTAGATTGTTCACTTCTCCTGCCTCCTCCAAACTCTTCACCCTTTTATGAATAACCCTGTGAGTCTACTTGTCATGGTGTGTTTTAAGATTGGCAGGCTAATTGTTTGTCAGTGAAGTAGAATAATACAAGATTCTTCCTTTCGGGGGACATTACTGCAGAACGCAATAATTAATATTTTGTGTCCTTCCTGCCGTACTGGTTCTCTCAATCTCCAGATTAGACTTTCAGTCTGCTCACACACAGACTAATGTTAGCAATACACCCTAAAATTAATCACTCGATTCCAAGCTAAACAGCATGGATGGAAGAATGTCCCCTGCTTGCTATTGTATTCAGACAGCCAGTATCAGAATACAATCTCATGTTATGTCTATTACATTAGCACAGAAGGTGGGCTACCATGCATTGTGCAGACACGGACTTAGGACAACTATACATGGGTAGCACCTTCACCAAGAATGACAATTAGTTTAGAAATCTGCCCAAGTCTGTACAGATCGCTGCACCACAAGAAACCTTCCCAACTTGGCTGATGGATCGATAAGCCACACATATGGTGAATGGACTTTTCTCAATCCTACAGAAAAAAACGCTTAGCATAAAGCCAAGTTCAATAATGACTTTGAATAGCCAACGATGACCCAATAATTACAAACTATGCTGCTGATTTTATACATTGTTTGTGATTCTCAGCGTGGTTTTAACTCCCAAGTTCCAGGGCACTCGTTTTTGAAACTTGTTGAAAAATCTCAGTGTGAGTGGACAACATCCTTTCTTCTGCAATGGAGCAATACTGTATATTATGCATGCTGCATATTAATTAAAAAACATGTCTGCTAGAAAATAAAAAAAATAACAGTTCTCTTTGGGTACAGCAAAGACTTCAGCATCCGTAAGAGATTAACAAGACAGGAAATTAATACTTTTTCCTAACATTATCTTACTGCTCCAGCTTAAATTTTATTAAGAGATGGGTGGAATAAAATCAGGATGGAATTTATACAGTACTTCCTTCACCCTATGCCAACTGCCTTATGCCTGTCTCCTCCGAACCCAGGGACGGTTAGTAATTTTAGTGCAGTATTTACAGAATCAAGAGGATCATGAGGTATGCAAAGCTGAGAGCAGGAAGGCTGAAATACACATTCTGCATCAGTACATCTAGAACTAAGAGGAAGCAAATGGACAGAGATGTAATTCTCTTCTGCCTGCAGTTTTGGTTCTAGGTGTACAGACTTAAAGTGACACTAAACTCAGGGGTTAAATCTTAAAAATGTACTCAAGTACCTTAACTATTAACAAAAATGTATCTAATTTGTGTATCACTGTATCAGCTGTAGGTCCTAAATCATCTCTGAATTAATGCTGACACTGTCCTTTCTTCTGGAGGGTGGCTACTTTTGTTCCCATAGTCCCTGTGTGTGTTGTAAAGTAGCCAGCACTCCAAGCTCACTCCCGTGATGGACTACAATCTCATGTTTAGTTTACTGATTTGTATTGAGATTGTAGTCCATCACCAGTTGTGTAATTTCCCTAGGCCACAGCCTATGTTGGCTATGCACATATCCAGCCCTAAGCAAAATGTAACATCTGTAGGGATGTTGTAGTTTCAGACTTTGTTATGGCACAACAAAGTTCCTTAAAGTTACTTCCTTTTTTAAAGTAGCTAAATAAACATTTGATAATCATTTGGTATTGTGAGCCAATATAAAGTTAATCCTTCTGCAAATAGTTTAAAAGTAAATGATGTCTTATCTTTTTATTAGGTTTCGTCTTTCTTATTGGGCAGCTGATCTTGGCAATCTGCCTTTCCATCATATGCAACTTGACAATCTGCTGCTTTGTGCTCAGGGTGCTACTTTCTGTGGTCAGTGACTCATTGGTTATAAATTCTATTGTTTGAGGTTTGGAAAGCACATGGCCTTATAAATTGAATCAGTTCATTAAAATAGTACAGACAATTCTCTGTGTAACTTCAGGAAATTCAGCTTCAGCAGCTTAAAGTGACACTAAACTCAGGAGTTACATTTAAAAAAAAAAATTCAAATTCCTTAACTATTAACATAAATGTATCTTATTTGTACATCACTTATTTGTGATCACTAATTGGTTTCCTATGTTGACTGAATTGTACTTCAAAGTGACACTAAACTCAGGAGTTAATCACTCGCCTGAAGATCCTCAAATCATCTCTGTATTGGTGCTGAAACTGTCCTTCTTTCTGGCGTGTGACTACTTTTGTTCCCCATGGTCCCTGTGTGTGTTGTAAAGTAGCCACCACTGTGAGCTCACTCCTGTGATGAACTACAATCTCATGTTTAGTTTACTAATTTGTATTGAAATTGCAGTCCATCACGGGAGTGAGCTTGGAGTGGTGGCTACTTTACAACACACACAGGGACAATGGGGAACCCTCCAGAAGGAAGGACAGTATCAGCACCAATTCAGAGATAATTTGAGGATCTACAGCCGAGTGATATACAAATAAGGAGCTGTTTTATTAATAGTTAAGGCACTCAAATGCATTTTTAACTTCTGAGTTTAGTGTCACTTTAAGGTAAACTTTTCCTGAGGGAAACAATGAGCCCACTATTGCTGATCTCCTTCTGAAAAAGCTAGCTGCCTGGCTGTTATACTGCACTACTGGCTGTAATACTTTCTGAGTCACTGACCTGGAACAATTGTGCAGATCAGGAAAGCCAGACTAAAGTCAGAACTTCATATTTTTTCTTGGTTAGTGGAAAAGTATACAAAGTAGTAAAGCCAGAGGGTTAAAATGACATGCAACTAAATTCTACAGAATGAGAAATTTCACTGGCACCAGGGAAAGGGGCAGCCTTCCTCTCACTGACACCACTATAAGGGGCAGTCTTTTTCCCCATTGACACCAATGATACTGGGCAGCCTCCCTCCCAATAACACCAATGTAAGGGCAGGGGCAGATCCAGATTCTAGTCTCGGGAGGGGTACTGCCAAAAAATAAGAACACAGATCATGGTAGTAAAGAACACAGCGCTCAGTAGTTAAGAAGTCAGCGCTCAGTAGTAAA